GCGTTGCATAACGCCGGTATCGGGCATCATCGACCGATAAAACGACGGGTGCCGATAAATGTCGCAATCGGCGATTAATCGGCAAACAGCTCTCCCCTCGCGGCGTCTTGCCGGGCTTATCGCCGACCGGCAAAACAAACGCGCAGGACCGTCGGTCCGTTAGCTAAGCTAGAGACTACCACCGATCAACCCCTAAAAGAGCATATTACCTGCGCGCTTCTCCTCTGCGCTGGGTGCCATGGCGTCGGCGTTCGGGTTCACCTTGGTGGACGCGTTCTTCTCGGCGAGCGCGATCGTCTCGTTGTCCCCCTCTTGCAGGATGCCCGCCTGAAGGGCCAGTTTCCTAACGGCAAGACAATAGCCGAGGATTGGAGCCGCCAGCAGGTCAAAACAGGCGGCCACCCAGGGCATAACCGAGCACGCGGCTTTTCTCGGCGGAAGGAGGATCCCTGCTCGCGGTGCGCGCCGGTTGCCTCTCCTCCCAAGGGGGAAAAGTGAAAGTCGCCGGTAGGCAGACGACGACGAAGAGCGTAATCAATGACGGGGAAGGATGAATGGAAGCGAAAAACGTTTCCCGCTCGCTCGAGTACAAGATATCCTGGCGAGCTGGAGCCCTCTATTCGATAAGCAACAACACACGGCGCAGCGGTGTTTGTTTTTTTCCCCTCTTAGCTCTTATTAAAGTTCTTCCGAAAAATGATCGCTGCTCGTGTGCCGTATTATAGACAGCAGATCCTCCCTCATTCCAATTTGCTTGATCCTCACTTCCGGAGCCAGTTTGCGGGCTTCTTTGTCTTCTGTTCTCAGTTCTGTTCCTCCCCTTCCCTCTCTGCCTCCCCGCTTTCTTCTCTTCTCTTGCCTTTTTCCCGAGTTGCTCGTCGGTACCTTGACGCGCACCTGACTTTCTCGATCGCTCGTTCACGAACGACGTCTAATCGTGTCGATCCTATACTACTGTGAGCGTTCACTTGATTACGGGTCGCTTCGGACCTGCGCACGCGCTGCCCACCGCCTGCTGGCTGCTGGTAGTTTACATAGTCACGGTCCTACTCCACCGACGTCTCGCGACGAGCCGGCGCTCCCTTTTCCTCCCCTCTGCCACCTTGCCAAGCGATCTTTGTACGCGTGTCTCGCTCCTACCGAGCTCACCTGGCCTGGTAAACAGCTCGCACCTTCTCGGTCTCTTGATCCTCCCGAATATCTGTAGGTCAGTTCTCACCGGTGAACCGGTTTCAAGGATCGACGCCTACGTCCAGCCTCCAGACCCTTCGGGGATCGGTGTTCTGCCTCGAGAGCGGACTCGGTTGTCGTCCTTTGTTTATCGTTTCTGTTTTGATTTTCAAATGTTCCCTGTGGAACGGTGCCGATCGACCTGCACGTATCGCGCACAAGCTGGCGAACACACGGTGTTTGCTTCGTGAAAGGGAAAACTGCGTGGCTCGTTGCGGAAACGGAGTAAACTCGTGCGCAAACGTGAAAGCTGCTCGTCCTCGTTTGTGCCTCGAGGAGGTTCCAGCGACTGGTGTTCCTTCAACCGCGGCAGCTTTTAGCAACATCGACCCGGACCTGGCGTGCGCCCTCTGTCGGGGCCAGCCAATGAACGGCCCGACGGCCCCTCCACCGACGTCCCGGCAATCACGTTGAAAACACGTCGAACGGATCTCACGTTTGCCGACAAAATGTTGATATTCAACGGGCCAACGGGGCCGCTCCGCGTTCACGGCACTGCTCTCGCGTTTTTTCTTTTTTCAGTTTCGGCCGATCGGCGAAACGCGCTCTCAAAACGCCGGGATGGTCCCAGGTGATCCGCGGGTCCGCGGGGCCATTTGGCCGCATCGAAATAGACCAGCGTTCCCGCTAAATTTGAAACGCCGCTATAAACGCGTTTATTTCCATCGTTCTGTCGAAATAACCCTGGCCGCGTCGCGTTCACCGAAATTCGCGTCCGACTCGGGACGCGGGGTATTGATTCCTTGATTGGCCAGGGACATCCACTGGTGAGACCCTAATTGACCCCGCGCGGGCTCTACAATGTCCCTTTCTTTGTTACTGCAATGGAGCGACCCGTGGGTTATACACGGTGGTACAACAGAATGGCGATGATAACGCTGATAGAACTATAGAGTAGTGAAGCTTTTGTATTTTCGCGTGGAAAGTATAAGACTATTGAGATTGCGAGTAACATCGATCAGTTTAGGTACTATTGAATTACTTTCTTTACTGATTTCTTAGAGAAACGTTCGTATTTTCAGCTAAAGAGACCGAAGAGATGTTGCCCAACGATGGATTCAATGAAAGAATCACATAAAGCACGTGGAAGGATACTCGTTGTTGGCATTGCGATTTTTTCCCCAAACAGCGAACGTCATGGAAAACCGATGTGCGCTGCGTGGAAAACGAGCGCGCCGCCTCTGAAAACGTCGCAAACAGATGACGATTGTTTACAGCGATCTGTGGAGATCGCTGCTTTGTCTATTTCGCCAGAATTATGCGACTGTTGAAACGATATTTGCTCTGATTATTATCTCGCGACGGATCGAACCGTCAGCGTTGTTCCTTGGCCTGCCGGCGGAGCAAAGTCCACGCTCGTTTCTTCTATTTCCCTGATGGCATTTAAGCCGGGGACGCGCGTGCACTCCGCCGTCATTAAGCTCTGCTGTGGAATGGCAGATCATTAACGTCTTGACCTGTCAAATTACATCATAGGCAGATAAGCGGCAGCGGCGTGGACAATGTACGAGAGCGGCCGGCGATCGCTCGAATAAAATGATCGTCGTCCCCGATGTCTATAGTCTAATGATACTTATACAATGACAAAATTATGCAGTAATTATGCAACCGGTCGCCGGTTACGTAATCGCCGGTAGTTAAACGACAATGATCCGCCGGCAACACGCGTGTCCTTTCGAGCGGAATTTTTCGTCTCGGGAAACCGCGGGTCTCGCCTCGCCGAGGATAAATTGGCCTAGCGGAACGCTTTTGTTTTTTTGTGCAAACCAGTGAGTCACGATTATTATTTCGTCATTGGGAAACTAGCGACAGAGGTTTTCAACGAACCTCAGGAAAGTCGGTGACAATTGTTGGCACGGCTCCCCGGATTACAAGAAATCCATGTAACGGAATTCTCAGAGCTATAATCGTAATACTTTGTATACACACACGCGCTCCCGATAAATCAGTGATAAGTTTAGAAATTTTATTAATAAACGCACAATCCGTTTTAACCTCTTTTTTCCCTCGGTTGACGAAATCGCGACACAAATTGGCCTAGACTCGGCTACATTAATTTATTTTGGTATCTTTTGTCTGTCAGAAATATTAGATTATTTATCGTTCTCCTCTTTTTCTCGCAAGAAAACGATAAGAGTGTATCGTGTACAATTTTTTTACAGTCCCTACTTAATAAGCGATTCGCGGGAAAGACGTTAACAAGCTATTACATCAATTCCGCGTCACTTATCTCGAAAAATCCCCTAGTCAATAACGGCACGTGCTTTCACTGTACACGTGAACGTGACTTTCCAAGCGCATGATCCTCGGGTGTTCATAAACGGGAGGACTTTGCCGATTGTCAACGTGGTTAGAATAATTGCTGAGTTCTTGGAAATTTTTCGACGGAGTTGCAGCTAGCGGAAGATTTCTCATTTCTTCGCGTACGTAACCGTTCCCGCTGGTATCGGGATCCGCGGTAGCATCTGCCCGATAGAGGAGAGGCCGGCGAATTTCCTTGCACGTGATAAAAGTGTGCTCCGCCGCGTCTTCGCGCGATAAAACGACGATGGAGGTCACGAACGAGCCCGGGGCAGGGGTAACGCGAAATGAACTCGCCGATCTGTTGCCCCGGCGATGCTGGCGTAACTCAATTGAGTAGAGAGCGTCGAATCGTCTAGAAGCGAACCGATTAGAGGGTCCTCGTCACCGAAAGAGTTGCTGCCAAGAAGGTGCACGTTACCGTTCTATTGCTACAAATAGAATAATGCACCCGACGATCATTGCGTGTTGAATGGTTCTACAGGCCGGCTGTTGGAAGGTTGACCGATACCTCCAAGGATCGCACCAAGGCTGTTGCCTTCTGTAATTTCTAGGCGTGAGCTAATTCTAGAAAAACGCATAACGTACTACGATCGGATCGCTCTAGTTCGGATATTCTTGTGCACAAACATTCTGCTGATCGCGTACGCATGTGCGTCGTTCGATTTAAGTCAAAACAAAAACATGTTGTCTTCATTATAGACAAAAGTAGCTAAGTTTGGATTTCTCTGAATAAATATTTTGAAGTTCCGGTAGCTCTTCATTTTATAGTTCAATTCCAATCAAAACAACAACATGTGGCAATTATGGACGAGAAAAAGTTTGTATTACATAAATGAAATCGCTGTGGAAACTCCGGGAAATGTATTAGTGATTTCGTAACAATGTAGTGTGTTCGTTTTTTGTAAATGTAGAATGTTCGTTGATACGTTTGTTTTACTGATATTTGAACAGAAATTTAATGGAAGTAATTGTTTGATTATATGTGAAGTTAGTTAATGTATAAAAAGTGTTTGTTTATTCTGTTTGTATCTGTTTTGTGAGAGAAACTAAGAACATTGATTCGGAAACTCCGCGGCTTGAGTAGTTTCTAATTTGGCCACTAGAGTTCGCACAAATGCAGTTGCGTGGCGTTTAAATTCTTTGAAGCGTCTGTGCCGCGAGTTTGCTTTGCAGAATTGAAATTCTCTGGTGATCGAATAATGATTTTGAGTAAAATAATGAGTGATATTGTGTGTTTACAGTATAAAAAGTGTTTAAGAGTTCAGGTGCAGATAAAGGTGAAGTATAAAAAGTGTTGTGATGTTATTGTTAACAGAAATTCATCTATCTGTTTATTTTGGTCTAGTGCATTGGTAAGTCAGAAGAATTATAAGGTAAGTATCAATTTTACAAATAAAACTTGTAATTTATTGTTATCGATAATATTAATTAAACAATAAAATGTAACTATTTAAGGGTTGTAAATGTATTTATTAAAATGATATATATATACAATGTATGATTGTGTGAACTATTTTGGCACATAGTTGTGGATGAAGTAGAAAAACTTATTACAAAAGATGAACATTCTATTAATAAATTAGTGAGCAATAATATAAGGCACCTCTTAATTCCTAATGAGTATTTCACCTACAATATCAGGGTATTACAAAATTGCTTATGCTATGGTATTTTGTATAATTAGGGTTGTATAAAATAGTCCTTCGTTGTATTATAAAATGAAATATCGTTACAAATATTAGGTCAAAAAATACTGATACAGTGTAACAGTTAAATTTGGTTTGTGCATTTTGATTATTTGGCACTACACTACCAGTAATATGTTTCTCTAAAGGCTGTTCCTTTGCGCATAAGGGGTAAATGTTATATATGCACAAAGTGAATTGCTTTTGATACTTTCTCGAGAAATGCTTACATTCTCTGATCTGGTTCTTGACAATAATCGTATATAGGTATCTCTGGTGGTGCATCCATTATGATTCTGGGTGCACAGCTTCTTGTTATAACTACCACGCACAGTGTTATTGCTGATGCAGCAGCAACATGCCATGAAAATATAAGAGCAACACCTTCTGGTAACATTGGAATTGAAGGGAACACACGTATCATGTGTGCTATCCAACTACCGTGAATTAATGTTGTACAAGCTCTTAAAAGTTTCAATTCTGGCCACACAAGTTCCAAGATAATGGCTACAGATGTTGTCCATACTATGGAAGTTAATACTAAATTAACTATTGTATTGTTACCCAGACTATCCCAGAGGAAAAAGAATCCCTCTATAAAAAAGCTCTGTGCCAATGCCATTTTAACTAATCCTTCGCTCACATTGTGAGGAAAGTAAAAATTTAAAACATCAACAAGACCGGAAAATGCAAAAAAGAGATAAATTGTAGCCAATACAACTTTTGGAGATACACTTCCAACTTGCGGCATTCCACCGGTTATTGTTCCAGCTAGACCAATAGCAGTTGCTATTAGCTTTAAGCTACCCTCAATTGGGTGATTGTGTACTAATTTCTCACATTTCTCCATGAACTTCATCCCCTTTGTAGCATTTGAATCATCCCTGGGTCTCAAGGAAACCCAGTACTTGGCATAATCGTAGCACCATTTCAAACCAAATCCGTAGAATATGAATCCAGTAAGTATGCAAGGCATGTAGCTGTCCATTGAGTACATTAACTGCTGTACTTTATTTTACTGATTCTGCAAATTAAGCAACATCAATTAGTGATATTAAAATATCAGGTATTTATCATTGAAACTTAAACACAAGACATATATATCCTTTTTGTACTAAAGAAACTGGAATATATAGAATAGACATCATCAAGAAGAAAGTATCAAAAATGTATATAGGAAGTATATTTATTCTTGATATTATTATGATTATATGGTTACATAAAACTTACCCTGTGAATCTTTCCAAAGCTTCACTTTCTGTACAAAATGATAGTAGAGAAGTGACGCAGCAACGCTTCAAACATCTAGTGGTGAAATGTCTGAACTAAAATGGTCCCTGATAGATTACAACCAAATCGGCTTATCTGTCGTGTATACCAACAAGCGCATTTTTCGTGAAATATTCAGTAATTTAAACAATCCTATACTGAAGAATTACTTAATACGATAGATAATATTGGTTACTACTTAATCACGAAACGATTAGCTTAAAAATTTCAATTGTATCAATAGAATTAAGTTCCATCACTGACGAGATGTCGGGTAGATGAGGCATGTTCCTTTTTGTTTCTTTTTTGTCTCAATATTACATTTTTCTATGTACCTGTAATTTCTTATAGACATTTATCAGAATATTAAATATAATATTATCGTCAGTGCTTTAGTACCGCGCTCGACGTTACCGATAATTCAAGATTTCAATCACCGACAAGCGGTGCTAAAACAATCTTTCCACATCTTGTATTGTTGGATAATTGAAAATTGTAGAACATACTTGATCCTCCATCTGTGATATAGATCAACGAAGAAATTAGTACCAGTTCCGTCGCTTGATGGGGCCACCATACGCTTAAACGCTGGTTCCTAAAAATATTGAGTGCGGTACAGCTTTAGCTTTTATTTATTAATAACCGCGCTCTAAGATTAACGAGTCTACACCAAAAATACATTGCACAGTTAACCTATTTTTATATACCTTGTGCGTTCTCAGTAATGCTTCTTTAGCAATTATTTTAGTTCACATTAGATGAGCATGCCAATTCTATGCTCGCATTTCTAAAAGGGTACAAACTGACTTTTAACACATGAACACGTCGAAAAAATGAAATGACACGTGAAAAGTAACAAACTAGAAAACTCTGTTCTTGTTTATTACTCGTAGAAACTAAATAAAACATTAATAAGCATTATTTAACAATTTTCAATGAATTTATTCCGACGAGACCAAGAAGTGTCCATCGGCGATTAGTGAGTACACACCTAGGGGGTATATCGCGGTGGCTTTTGGAAATTCGAAGCCCGTTTACAGATGGTACCACGCGACCTGGGTAACGGGCTTTCATGTACGTCTCAATTATCGTTATGTAAATTGACTCAGTTTTGTGATGTGTGTTCTGCACCGGATGAGCATGAACGCGCGAAAGCCTTCGGGGTCTACGGCTGCGTAGTGCGGGAGACGCGAAGCCGACGAAATCAAGGCCGTTCGGTCCTCGGACTTTCGATCGGGGGTTGAAAAACATGTTATTAATATCAATCTAAACAACGATCAGTGGCTGGACGGGGGTTACTTTAAACCGGACGATCGGGGGCGAACTTTAATGAGCGATTTCGGGAGGTCACGCGCGCGTAGCGGGTCCATTTTTGGCGTGCGCCGTCGGGGGACAGGCGTGAGGCGGATTATCGCGAGTGCTCCTGTCGCATCTGTCATACACAACGCGTTATTATTCCATTTCTATACGCGTCTTCCCGTTTCTCCCTTTCTCGTTGGCCAGGATCATGCTCCATCGATCCGAATTGCCGTGTAATCTCGCAATCGGATTATCCTCGGGGATCGCAAACGAAATCGAATCGTCTCGCCTTCGCGTTCGGCTAATAAATGGACCTTCCTAATGTGGATCGAATGAGGCGGCCACGGAAACAACTGGAAGTCTATGATAACACCTTATTTTATTACCAGAAATACAGAAGTACCCGCGAGCCTGTAACGAGATCGCTAATGGCACTTCGGCTTTGTTGACAATAAAAGTCGACGGAACTTTATGGATGACGAGTTAAGGACGAGTTTTACGTTGCCACGATTATGTAAAGCTGGCTCGTAAAAGAAATGTGCACGCCGGTCGAGTGGTAATCTTGATTTTCTATTGGACCGTACGGTGACACAGTGGTCCTAAATTACCGGACAGTTTAATAACTCAGATCGCGGAACGATGACAAGGGAACGCCGCGCCTTATTTGCCGACAGTAATATCTTTAACGCTGCCGCGCAGAAGATTTCAAAGCAGCTGGTCCAGTCTTGATCCTCGAAAAGCCGCGGACTTGTCGCGCCGTAAGAAGTATACCACAACACGTTTTTTCCATTTTCATTTGTCGGAACGATAGAAAGAGGAGCAGGCGGAGGCGGCGCGGGAGGGCGGCCGAGGGAGGACGGCGGGAGCATCGGGGGTGCAATTCATATTTGTCCGTAGGCAGCAGCGGAATTGCACCTTTAATCAAGATTTCTACCAATTTGCGAGCGCCGACGGCGCGAAGACAAAGCCTATTGTTGCCGTAACTGGTTGGGGCTTCAAGTGTTCCAACGCAACGGTGAGAGCCCGATGCGCGTGTATACCGGGTGGCAACGGCGAACCGTACAATTGATCGGTCGGGGGCGGCTGGGTCTCGAGGCTACCCTCTCGATATCATTTAGTAATTATTTGGATTTTAAACAGAGGGTGGAACAATATTTCTTACCCCTGATAAATACAGCATTACAATCGTGATCGTGGGTTCAGTGTCTATAGCTAAATCGACGTTGAAAGGTCGATCAATTGGCAAATAATCGTATGAACCGCTGCTGGCATTCTGCTTAGTGAAAAGTGAAATCAGTTCATTGAAACTACTGGTAGTTAAGTATCGTTAAACTCTTAACCCTAATACAAGGTACATTGACTAGATCAAGCAGTTATTATTTATAACACTTCAAACGACATTACTCCGTCTTGATCAAAGTCATCAGCGTCATCAGTTTCAAAGGCTACCCAGAACATTCGAGAAACACCGCTAAACGAGAGGACAACGGACAGCACACCCGTTATCTCTAGAGCATACACGCGCCTTCGCCGGTCTCTCTCGGGCCAGGAGTTGAGACGAGTATTCTGGAGCGGAGGCTGACGCTCAGGGACTGCCAAGCTAGTCGCTTCGCATCCCAGAAGTCCCTACCCCACCGTTTGCTTCCGGCTAAGCCCGTTGCCACCGCGTCCCAAGCAACTTGAAGCCACTCGTACTTCTGTTTGTGTTTGCTAATTGTGAATTGTCTACTTCTTGCCGGTGGGCCGCGTGTACACGCCCGGCAAAAGCTAGAACGAGAGAAAGGAAGAAAGAGGACGTGGAAGAAAAGGGAGCCAGAGGGAAGAGGGCAGCCTGGATATTCCTGTAAAAGAGAGAGTGAGAAAGAGAGGGAAAGAGGGAGCAAAGAATCGTGCGCTCGCGCGCTCTCGTATCCTCGCCGCCCGTTGTACGGGTGTACAGCGGCGTATAAGCCGCATGCGAACCAAGACCAAGTGAGCCAAGCCGCTATCGTCCACGGAATGCTCAGACCGAGGAAAAACCACCTCCTCTCCCACCCCCAGGGCAACATCTCCGGGTTCACTGCTATCCCTACTTCCTTCCTTACACCCGTCAGACCGACTGCTACCGCGCCCCGGCCCCTTCCGCCCGCCACGTCCCCCGTTTCACCCTTCCTCAGACACTCGAGTTTACCTCACTAGTCACTACTTACATGAGTACTACCCACCAAGAGGCACCCGCGAGCAAGAGGGTACCAATTTTTAGTCATCCCGCCGCCCTCTCTCCGTCCCTCGAGGTAACGTGACGCTCTTCCCTTTGAAACGGCGAGTATTTTTCTGCGCGAAGCGGTTCTTCCCGTTTACAACGGGACACGGGTAATTGGAGATGCAATCTTCCCTTCAGCTTTAATCGATACCGCGCCGATATCCTCCGTTAATCCTGCGCGATTCCGAGGGTCGCTAATTAGGTAGTTCGGTAATAAGCGCTGCCCCTGCGAGAGTCGTTTAATGGTTTTCATATCTTTATAGATCTGTTTAACGGTGTTTGCCTCGGAGACAGAGGTCGGGTTTTAGGGGACAGTATCTTGCAATATTTCGTTGAGCGTATCTTAACTAGCTCTAGAGTAATGGCTATTCGATGACAAACATATGATTACGAAACTGTGATCTCACATGAAGAGAATTAATAAAAATATTACTAGAACGAACATAATAAACTGTTACTCGATAAGCATCGAAGAATATTTCTAGAATAAATAAGATTACACTTTAGAAATGGTAAAGTATTCCTGCGAATGCGTCATATGTTTTATCGTTCGTAGCTGCGGTTAGGGGATGTAATAGTATCTTAGGGGATGTCGCGGAATCCGTATTTGGAAAAGAAGCGGACCGGTATAATTGGTCGAACCGAATCCGTTCGGTCGGCGGTAATGAGTCCATTCCCGGCGTCCCCGTGGCCATATCGCCCCGCCGCGCGCAATAAAGCCGCGCGGTATTGTAAGGAGCGAGCGTGTTGGCACACCCCTCCGTCGGATGCTGCCGGGCTGCTCCGGTCGAAATATACGCCGTCTCTCCAGAGACGAGGGACATATTGTTTGGTTCAGTAATTCCTCGCGTTATTTCCCGTGTTTGCTTTTTATCATTGTAAACTGATATATTGTCCGGGGCAATCTCTCCCCCTTGGAGTCGGCGTCCTGGAGCCTGGAAAAGAGGACGGCCGAGCAGGGAAGCGGACTGGACGCTGGCGCGGACACGGACAGGGAGACAGTGTAGAGAGCCCGGCAAACGATCCACGAGTTTAACTTCGTTTCGCCGCGCCGTCGGAAACGAGATTACTCGCCCGGCACTCCTACACGCCTCGTTCGACCGAGACGCAAATATACGTCGGCGTGCACCGACGCGGCCGGCAAACAATAAAAGCGTGCGGGGTCCAGGAGGAATTGAAATTGATCGCGCGAAGAAGCGACAAACCGGGGAACAGGTTTGTTTGTCGTTTTTCGAGGATATTTTATAATTCCATTGTAGGCTTTCATTGGATAATTGCGCTGATGGAGGTTTAGATCTTGAATTTCTTTACTTTTTAATCGGGTGCAAGTATGTAACGTGTTCTTTGCTAGCGATGCTTATTTTTATTTAGAGTATTGCGTTATTCGCTTAATACTAGAGATTGTATGGATATTTTAAAATGAATGTAAGTTGTTTATATTTATATTTAATGATTACCTTTTATTTTTTTGATAGGTAGAATATTATTTACTGTTTTTGGAGTAGTACCGTCATATTTTGATTGGGTCTATTTCATACGTGATCGAAAGTTGCGCCGGGACTTCGTACGATCGCGCCACCCATCAGCTCGCAGCGACATAAAAATATTTCGATGGGCAAAAACGTGTCCGAATCGAAAATTTCCCTTTGTTCTTCGAGTGCATGCGTGTGACACTGCGTCGCGCGCGTTCGTCACATGACACGGCACGTGTGCCAACGCCAAACTCGTCGCGAGGCAAACAATGAATTAAGCTTTATTTCCATGGCACTTCAGGCCCGGCTGGTACCTCGTCCAATATAAGATTCGCAAATAAACGCCCGCATCCCTCTAAGAAGTTAATCCCTTCTTCAACCCCGTTCGGAATAAACTACCCGTCAATTTAAATAGGTCTCCCAGCAGCCCCAACTGAGTAAAATAAAAATAACACCAGAAACTGGCGTTAGCGTCTAAGAATAATAAAAAGGAAGCAGAAACTTAATTTAAAATTACATATCAGATTCCCAGATATCTAAGACGCAAACATTTCTTCTTCCAACGAAGTAGAATAAAACCGAAATCCCATATTAATATCAGCAGACATACATAAATAAAAATTCTAAAATCTCATCTTTCAAACCATGCTACAAAGTCCACAACTCAGCGGTCTGTAACATGAAATCCCAATAAAATATGAATATTTAGACAGATCATCCTTCAAACACCCCAGCTGTCCAGCGCGCGAAAAAAGTCCGTCGCCTGTGCATCCCTCTGCAGACGCGAGCTCGGTAATCCGTTAATCACAGTAGACGCGGGAAAGAGGGTAGGAAACAGGCGCGTAATCTAAGAAAAGGCGTCGGAGCATTGGCGTCGGTGGAAAGTGGTTGTAAGTGAATGAAAGTGGATGCAAAGGTGGAGGTGTGGTTGCTACGGGGTCGTCAGCCTAGCGAAGCTAGCATGATCAGCCGCGGAAGACAGAGGTCTGTCTGTCTTTATCAGCCAGCCAGGTAGAGCCCTCGAAGCCAGGCAACGCCGTCTCTGCCGCCACCCCCGTCGGCCGAGCCCTGGGGGAGTTGCTCACGGACGCCCACGATTGGCGTGGCTCCCCCGGAACGAGGGAGGACATCCAGCACCCCTATTGGCTCTACGCGAATCCATGCTCGGTATTCATTCGCTGCCTCATTCGTCGACCCCTCGTTCCGGTCTCCCTTTCTCTCCTCTTTCTCACTCTTCCCTCACCCAACCCTCCGGCAGCGATGCAACTCACCCCAGCGTTCGCCACGGGAATCTTTTCAATGCACTTCACCGCCAGCTTTCACCTTTTGCCGGATATTTCTAAGCAAATATTTTTTTAATAAGCGCGAGTCCTCGGTGGCTTACCGTTGACGCCCTTACGGGGCCAGGTTTCCTTTATTTTCCTGGATTATCTAATCTTTCGAATTTGAAGGATTCATTTGAATATTCATAAACTTATATACACTGGTCGTTGAAAAAATTGAAAAATATTTTATTGAGACGGTATCTTCGGAGAAATTACCTCTCGTTATTTCGAGTTAGCTAGATCCTGCGATCGACGTGTCTAAAGTGGCTGATAAGATATACGTCGAAATGACGAATCTGGGGAACCGATTTTAGGAGCAGGATCGACGAGGGTGACACGGTCGCCGGGAGATCTCGGTTTTACGGAACAGCGGGGGCAGGAAGGATCGATGGAAAGTGTCGAACAAGGAACCCGTGGTCGTTCGCCTGCACTTTTAACGTCGCCGTGTCGCCTCGGTCCCAATTGAATAAGAGAAAATAAAAGGGAGAGAAAGGTGGCCTGCGCGGAGGAAAGACGAACGACGGGAACTGGGGGAACGGAGAGAGAGACAGGGACGGAGCATTCCTTGGGGTGTTGCAGCCTATGATCGAGCAACGAGATGGGCGGATTTCCAGGTTGCCGGTGGCTCCGCCCCCGGGCCCGCCCCATTGGTGGTTGCTGCTACCTTCAGATATGGTCGCCTCCCTTTACCCTTCTGTCTGCAGCTGAAACCTTCGTCGGGTTTCGCCAGCAGCCACCGCGCACACACGTCAGCAAACGGCGCCTCCAACGGCCAACGGATCGTTCGCGATCACCGTCGATCATCTGCCAAGGGATCAACGGGACGGAATCGCGGCGGAATACTTTTTTGGGGGACTGGTCCACCCGGTATGGATCGTCGTGTGCCCGACGGTAATGTTCGCCGGTGAGACATCCTAACGCCGGACGTTCCATCTGTGCTACGGAAGTGTTGTTCCATTGAAGTACACGCGACCGCCGGGACAGTGACCGGATTCCACGGGGACATCTTCATGGATCGACGCGGATACTGTTGACGACAAGTTTCGGGATCAACGATGACCTGTGTAGGGAAGTTCCGCGAAGTTTCGAAGATGAACTGAGAAAGGCTGGCTTTGGAACGAAGATCGGATTTCAAGGATTTAGTTCATCGACGTGATGACAGTGAAGGGAGACACGAGGAAGCATTGATTTGCTGAATGTCAAGGCGTCAATATAACTGACTGGCCGTTCACCTTCGACGATGTCGATCGACGAATCGAGGGATCCTTGGAAACTGGATGCCGACGTATCCTGATGTCCGTCGCCTGTCGTCATGACGAACGAAGACTCGCCGAGCCTGTGACACAGTCGCCGAGGTGACATTTTCTCGATAGAACTGTAAAACCGAGGATAAGGACTTGGACTCTCTGGTTTTGGAGCCGCTTGCGAGATAAAGAAATAAGTGTTCTGGATTATTGGAGGTTTCGGAAGATTCTCGGATCGGGGGATCGGAAGAACCGTCGAATTTGCATCTGTTTCGTAAGTACCTGTTTCTGGTTCTTCTTCAAAGAAATTCCTGATTGATCGGGGTAGATTCGTCGCGGATCGTCTCGAAATTACCGCGAGTTAAATCGAACGTGGTCGGCTTTTAATTGGATAGAATATTTCGCTGGCTTCTGGATATAGAACTGAACAGAGGGAGGGAGGATTATGAGACGAATGACTTGGCACAATTAGCCAGATTTTATGAGTGGATGAAACGGAGGAACCGCTTCACTCCAGGCTGGCAACTAAATGGATTAAAACGCCCGTCGCGTTCGAATGCCCTCGCAAGCTGGCGTGACATAAGTATCTCGCTCTCGAAAAAAATCCTCTGCAAGGAACTACGGTGCTCCAGTCTCTTGAAAATTGGTCTGACATACGGATAACAGCGATGTAAAATACTAAACGTTGGTGGAAGAATATTAGCGCCAGCTTGAAAATCAAATTCTAGTCGCTAGACGCAAGATAATCGATTTCAAAAATGAGTTTAAGCTTTATGACGCGATGTCACTGAAAAATAGAAGCTTCTGGAAGAGAAATGGTTAACTATAATCATTCAAAACGAAGAATTGGAGCACTGTAATAATTCAAATACAATTGTTATACGAGAAACTTCTTTAGATGGTTCATAAACACTTATAACTGAATAGCACTGTAAAAGTTCAGTCTTCCAGAGAAGAATTGAGACAGTAAGATACCAAATCAAACTTTTCTAATAAAAAACATCTAAGTATTACATTCAGAATTATCCAAAACGATCTTCAGTAACATCAGAATCAATTACACTTCGTAAAACTCCCAAAAACCACCCCCTTCAACATAACTTCATTCACAAAACAACTGAATCATCGAAACTAATAACCATCCCACGTAAAACACACTATAAGAGCTTCAAATCATAAACAATTACCATTCTCGTATCCCGAAAACCAATGAAAACGGCCGAGTTTATTCACCGGCTTGGGGTGAGTTAAGCGACGGCCGCGTGATCGCGATCAAGGACTACCCCCGGTAACATCAGGTCAGCGTCGCGTCCCCGTAACATGTATCCCGGCACCGCCACACACTGAAAGCAGTTCCCAGCCCGTACTTACTGGAAAACGTTTTATTTGTACCGGCGGCCCGTACAAGTGGCACTGGAAATTAGCGAACAATTAGCTCGCCCCGCTTCTGTTTTCTAAACACGGGGCCGCTGCCTATCGACGGCCCATTATTTCGAAGCATTCGTGCAACGCGCCAATATCAAACCTCCCGTGTAAGCCTCGCGGCGGTGCCCAAGTGGCTCCGTTGGTTCGAGTGTGTCCGAAGTATTCCGGAGCAGTATTTTCGAGCGTGCTCGCAGTACCGTGCGCGCGTATAGCCGGTCGTTTTCGAGTATCGCGCGGGCACGGACGCGAGGAAACGCGTTGCGCTGCCGAGGGTCCGTAGAAGGGGTTCTTCTAGTGTTTCGTTGCGCTTAAAAGGAGGGGCGGGCCGGGAGGGAGACGGTTCCACGGAGAGGGTTTCTCGCTGCAAGGCAGCTTTGGTGTTGCAGCCTCTTCAAACCTCGTGCAAACACTCGGGGACAGGGCGTTCGCCTGGTACGACGATTAATATCCCAATAAGGCCTCGTTCACAGGCCTCGCACGACCGAGCTGCCTCGTTCTTTATTCATTGTATCGCGGCTCCTCCCGCGGGATAAACTGCCCGATACCCGGGTTCCGTCACTTCCCTCGCGAAACCTTCACGGGAAGATCCCATTTCTCGCGCGGCTGCCTCTGAATATCATATTTACGTGGAACGCTCGGAAAACATAGTTTAGAGAAGCTAACTCTGTCTCCTTATTGTATTTCCTATGGAACATCTACTTTGCAATCCTTTCGCGATTGAAACCTTCTATGGCACTAGATTCTACCAGCGATACGCTTCACTTTTTATCCAAAGCGTTACCAGGCGAGAATTCTGTTCCCATTTCGGCGATTAAAATTGTCAAGCTATTGACGCGAGATCATTCTCGAATAACTTCCTACGTTGCAACTTTTTCAACAAATTCTGTAATACAAGTTGTCTCTTTCAATATCCTCGTGATCTGAATTCTCAATAGTTGAGACACTCTCACTTCCATTAAAATTACCAAGCTAATAGCTACACCATTTACCACGCCACAGAATCGCAGATTAACGTCTGTATAAACCGATGAAGGTTCCGCGTAGAATCGCGGGATCAATGTGCACGATCGCGATCGAATTTCCCCGGAGGGCGAGCGAGAGGCGCATGAAAAGCACGAGTCGATCGGGAAAGCGTCGCGCTGGCAACGGTGGTCGGGGCAACTTTGTCGGGCACGTCAAATTTGTTGCTGATCGTCGGTAGCGCAGCTGACGAGCGAATTTTACAGCGGGCAGCGCGATTAGCATACCTATCACGCGCGCCCGCCGCGCGTCATTTATTCGGTCGAAAAGGGCCGATGGCTGAAACGCGACGTTAATTGCCGATCCGGCCGCGGAGATCACCGGGCCCCGCGTGTCCACCCCGAACCGGGCAGATACCGCTTTATTAGCCGGACCCGCGCCGCGGGTTTATGCGGCTGTGGGCTTTTAAGTGTCCCGGCTAAACGCCGGTTTTATTGGCAGATAAACGGGACAGCGTCTGTCCCCGGAGGAATGCTCCGCGGCGACTCCGCCCTGACGGACGCCGCTAATTAACAAACGACGAGAGATTACCGGTAAAAGGAAGTCCCCGGCTATCGCGCCGGTATTATAAACAATGAAGTATCCGCGGAACGTCGCCGCAACGAATATATTATATTCTTAATTGACTGTTTTACAACGGTCGCCTGTTCTCGCGCTATCTTCCTTCTCGATTCTTCCTGTCCCGTTCCGCGTTTATCCGGCTCGAAAACTCGCGTCGAGGGACTCGCGCAACGGGACCATGTTTTTCCTGCGTAAATATTTGAAATAAAACAGCGAGGGCAAGACGGTGGATTTCGAGGTTTCGAGTGGGAGAGACTTACTCCGCTCTTGGTTTCCGTCCACTTCCTTTTTCTTCCTCCTTTTTACACGGTTTTATTTTTTCCCCTGCTCTCTGGATGCTGGAGGCATTATTACGCTACTTGATTTCGCATCGTGCCAGCTGTCTCCGATTATTCGCCGTAGAACGTTTCGGGGGATCGTAGTTCAAAGGGGACCCCGCGGTCCTCCGCTAATATTTGAGGAGGCCCCGGTACACTTGGGCCCTACCGGACGTTAAGCTTCTGTTGTGCTGCGTCGAGATTCCTTGCTCTCTTTCACCCCGAGATTACGAATTTATCAGTCGGCAGCCAGTTTTACGCTATGATATTGTTTGCGCAGGACGCGCAGACGATGGTGGATGTTCTACATTGATTTCTTGCTTTTCGATCTTCGATTGAAAATGTTTACCGGTAATTTAATATTTCATCGCGATACTCGTTATTCAATTAATTGTTAGGGTAGAGGAGAGTTTTAAACGGTTCGATGAAGATCTTATGTAATTTTGAACTTAATAGCATCCTCAATTCAGTAAATCATTACGCGTGAATAGTAACTTATAAATTTTAGTTTTATTCGTGAAACATTTAGTTAATTCAACGCTAAGCGGCGAAACCTTTATTCTCAAACATTAGAAACTACCGTAGTGCCTGCGAAATACCTTTCACCACTGGTTCCCACGAGATACGAGCGAAACAACGAAATTCGAGGGACATCACGCGACGCATCGGAGCAAACTTCGGACTTCTAAGTATCTAATCGAGCTTAGAAACTTCAGTTTGTTCCAAGTGATCTAAGACTTCATCCGACCTACCTCCGGAACTTTCTCCGAAGCTGACTCTAAACTTCAGCCCCAGAGTCATGGTGATCTACGATAATACCACCGACCCCTTGACGAAGTCACTCAACCGCTTTATTGGAAAGTTCCGTCGCTAGACTTCCTGTACTTCGTACATACATTACACATCTCACACCTTCGCTCAAGAATTGCCCTCCAGAATCCCACCACATCCTTTCCACCCTCAAAACATTCCGAAAATTCCGCAGAAAAACGCAGCAATCAACTCCAAACCTTAAGCTACCGTGAAAGTTCTCTTCCATAGTTCCAAAACAACACTGAAACGCAAACTTTCCAACGAAAGGAAGTTCCTAATAAACCAGCCACAAATCCACCACAAACCAGCCAGCCTAGAACAGCTCCCGGTTGGCAAGCTAGTAATCATCCTAACTCGACCTCGATCCCCAAAGGGTTAAGGTCTGCGATCTATCTAGACGGCGTGCTCGCGTCTAGGTCGAAGAATATAACCATCCACGGATAGTCGAAGGGTACTCTCGAATATTTCACGGATGCGCGAGAGGTTCCTGTCCCGGTGTCGGTGTGCACACACGTATCCGTGACTGGGAGACCACCCCTTCCGGCTGGCTTCCTTCCTCGGCTCCCCGGCGCGGCCCGTCTCGCGCCAAGGATCACCGATAGTTGGCCAGATAGCGCTCGCAGCGTTACAGCGTTCGCACCGTAGCGGGTGGATGTCGGTTACACCGGCTCACCCTCGTCTCGGTGTTCCTCCTTTCAGTGGTCTAGCTCGTGTGCGAACACGTACGACGATATCTACCTTCGGAATAGGTTTCTGGAACGTTTCCCTGTGCGTGTGCCTGTTCAACGTCGGCCGCACTATAGGCGGAGGCTCGCACGCGCGCGGTCTTCAGCCAATGCTAGAGGCGAGCGCATTCGCGTCGAGACGTTATCTACCCCTTTCACGGTGTTCGTGTGCCCGCGAAGTCGAGGATGGGGCTGAAGGTGGTTGGTATCTTGTTGGAGGGCGAGAAATACGAGCCGGCCACGAACCTCTTCTAACGGGTTGCGTGCACGATCGAGCAGAGCGAGAGATACGGAGGGACGGAGAAAGAGCGCGGCTCGGGGGGTTGCTCCGCCTGTTCGCACCCCCTTTTCGCTGTACTCTTTAAAAAATTAGCTGCCCGATCCGACGGTTTTTATCTTGTCGCTGGCCGATG